GCAACAGTCTGCTCACGCTGCAGTGCAGCAGTCCTGGTCTTGCCGGTGGATAAAGGGCTTAAAATGAGCCCAAGTCTTTCTTTAGAGCATGATCAAAAAGTGAATCAGTGTTGCTCCACTGACTACCAGGGCAGAGGGGCTCAGCTGGACCCAAACCAAGGACTTCTGTTCCTCAGTGTGTTACTGAATGTAACATACCCCAGTATATTACTGAAACGTTGTTAATTTTAAGTCCAGTTTACCAAAGTGTTTATGCAAATGACTAAGTGAGCAAGACTTTTAAAAATCTGATTTACATCCATTCATCGAACATCCTGCTTTGTCAGCCGTAGACAGTGTTTGCTCCCAGCCTCACCCGTCCCTGAACAGCAACATAAATAGATGAGGGAGCACAGCGTGCCGGTACTGCGTGCTCAGCGTATGGATCGTTATTCCTATGGTATATACATGCTCCACTGAGGCAGCTACACCATTGAGATGCAGAGCTGGGAAAGTTTAGTCTCACCCTGCATTCTCCATTGTGGTGTTTGTCTTCCAGAGTCACCCATGGAGCTCATCATGAATCCACTGGAGGAGCAAGGCTCTAGATCGGATCCTTCTAGCTGTGGAAGGATCAGAAAACCTTAGTTTTAATCTTAAAACTGATTTAAAACTTTGGTAATTTGAACGTGCTTCTCTTGCTCTTAAAAGCCAGCTTTTGGATTCCAGCTCGCTGGAACAGAACAGTGTGACCTGAAGTAGAGGAATGTGGAAGCCAAAGCAAGCTATATCTGACTGCCACTAAAATCTACGGGATTTAGACACTTCTTTGTCCCAAGAGATGAATACAGTTCCATACACTTTTAGAGTGAAGTTTCTCAATGATTTTTTAAGAAGGGACTTCCTGATACCATCCTGAAAAAATCCACAGACCGTCTTGTGTTGTTTTTTTGAGAAACTGAACAAAGAAAAGTAGTATTTGCAACAAATAAGACCTAGCCTAAATTTTGCACATTTGTCTGTTACTTCCCATACACACCCCCCCCCGTTTCCTTATCTGCATGTGAGTGTAGATTTGTTGGCTCTTCTTTTCTGGATCATGGACTGATGTCCTTTGAACCACAAAAGGTTTGCAGGTCAAATAATATTTCTCTGTGTCAATTACTGCCAAAAGCTGCAAAGAATGAAACTCCTTCTCTGTGACAATCCATACAGTATTATTTCGAACAATTGTATAGGGGCTTGAAGCAGACGTATGATTGTATAGAGTGGTTCCATTAATTTATGAATGGCTTTCAAACTTACACTGGATTTTTCTATTGCAACAATTTTTTTCTGCACCCATCACAAGAAATTGGACTGTCAGAATCTTGTTTCTGCTGTTAATCTAAGGCACTTTCAAATTATTTGTTCTGCATGAAGAAACAAGAGAACAGTAACTGCCATTTTCAGATGCCCTGAAATTTTCTTTCAGAAGATTTGCTGCCCTGTGAAAACGTGGCCAGTACATCTGCACAAACTGGACCAGATTCCGAAGGGCGCTTCAAAAAAACCTCAAAGCTGGTCAAAGAACCGCGAGTATTTCCCAGAAAGCAGGCGGCCTTCCCTAGCCCGGAGGAGATGAAGAGGAAGAAACATTTCTCACAGCGCTTCCCGAGGGCAGAGGCAGGCAGGTGTCCTGGCCCTTATCGGGAGCATTCCAACCTGCCCTGTTTGTCACGGGAACCGGCCGGAGCGGGACTGCGCTTGCAGCCAATGCGGTGATTCAGTGGGGATGGGGAAAGGCAGGTGGAGCAAGTAAGTCACCTCTAGACAGGAAGGTATAAAAGATACTTGAATTACAGCGGCAGGGCCACTTGTGCGCAGGGAGCTGTTAGACGAGTCTTTGCCAGACCTACCATGCTCGGGAACAACTCAGGACGATACCGCGGAGCTTGAATACCAGAAGGCAGCTTACAAATACAAAAGACCCTGAGCCTAAGACTATCCTCTGGAGAGAAGACTCTTCAGGGGTAGAAATCAAGAGCCCAGAACATGCTTTTCTCCTTCTAAACGGCACTCTGAACAGGTATTTATAGACTTTTATCTGCTGTATACCTCTTAACTTTCTGTGTATTCAGTTGCTCTGAGTTAAGGATACCATTAGGGAAGCTTATTACAGTTGGCCACTGCCCTAACTGTGTGTTTGCTGTTGTCTGGTTTTATGGTATGGAAAGTTTTCTAGAACTTGTTGGGAAGTAAAAAATACTTAACTAATTTTAAATCTGAGTTTATGTGTCTCTCCTGAACGGTTTAGTTATTTATCAAGGTTTCCAAAGTTTCTGGAAAGCCCAGGTAAATAGCTGGGAAAGCAAGGTAAATAGCTGCAGAGTCTGAGGAAATGCAGTGCGACTGTGGAGGTCAGAACACTTGAAGATACTGTCTCGTATTAAAAAAAAAGAAAGCCAGTGATCGTGTAGTAGAAAACAAACCTGATAGAAAAACAAACAAAACCCCCAAACCCTAACTAATTCTGTTGAGATTGCACACTGTGCGTCTTCCTTGGGTCCCTCCAGCTTTAGTGCCTGGCTCTCCTTTAGTTGTACAGCAGTAGCACCCAGGAGAAATCTCGGTCCCTGCGCTAGCTGCTGCCCAAACCCAGTTTAGCTTTCCGAGCATCAGCACTACGGCAACAGAGCAAAAGACACAAGAAGCAGGCAGAGGCTGACCTGTCCAGTGAGGCAGAGGACGGATTAAAGCTCTCTTTTCCGTGCCTTGGCTGTGTGCCCTGCTCTTCATATCTCCCCAGTTTAAGTCAACTACCTGCGTCGTGCCTGATCAAGGTGCCATATAACACCAAGATGCTGATAAAAATAAGTAGACTCTAACTTTATTAAAGCTAACAGGCATCTATAATGTTGCGATCATCTTTAGCAAAGGGAAAATGTGGGCAAAAGCTTGGATCTTCATTTAAAAGCAACTGTTGTAAGCAAACTTCCTCAAGTTTACCATCCAGATACCGCTGTTGCTATAGCTGGCATTTTACAGACTAGTAAAAACCCCAACAGAACAGCTTTTTCACCTAGGTTATGAAGTAACAGTTTGCACAAGCAAAGGCTCTCTCTTTCTGAGGTTACCTCCTGCCACTGGCTTTGCTGCTGATAATTTCTGACAGCCACTCCAGGCTGAGGGACTGCAAAGAACTGGGCGTAGGGCATGGAGTTGTGCAAAACAGCAGATTTAGTAAAAAAGAAAAACAAACCAGGGATTTTCCTCAGTTCTGTGCCAGCCTGGGCTTGGATTTGTAATTCATCAGCATCTGCCAGATTGTGCTAAAACACGCATGGTGATCTGCAGTCTGAAAAAAATACATTAAAAAACCCCCCAACATTACAGCTTGCGGAAAAGTGCAGATAGTCTGTGACTGAAAATGTGACTTGAGGAGACACTGCACAAAAATTTCTTCATTTAGAATAGGAGAAGAAGCAAGGTTCTTAAAGCTGGTTTCAGCTCTGGCAATGCTAGCTGTGACGGGAGAGGGGAGAATGCTTCATTCTTTAAATAATGGAGACTTTCTTGTGCAATGTGAGGACACATGGTCTTTCTGATACCTTAAATTAGCATTTTATACTGAGATGTGGAGTCTCTAGCCCGTGCTGGTGAGCCACTGCAGGATTGACTGGAGACTTATAATTACAGCAGCAATCTACAGGTTTCTGGCTTGTCATCGGTAGATCTCCTAACACAAAGAATCAAGCCTAGCTAGTTAGGTGACACATCCTAAAAAAAATTTTCCCCAGGCATACAGCACCAGGGCTGGCGCTGGCAATTTCCTCCAGCTAAACGCTTGCTTTCAGGTACAAGTGCTCAATAGCTGAAAAGTCATATATCTGAATATCAGAATGTACACAAAGCTGCACGTCTGGCCTAGGATAACTGGAATTCGAGGTAATCCTTAGGCTGCTGAAAAGCGTGGCGTAAGTTGTAGACCAATGTGGTGGAACCGGCGTATTAGCCGTGCAAGCCAAGGCTCCTGCTTGCACACCACCACAAAGCAGAGAGCGTATGGCAGCACACGGCGAGGCTTGGGCCGTGCTGGCACTCCTCCAGGGCTGAGGACAGGGAAGAACTGCGCTTCCCCGGGGAAACCAGAGCAACGAGGAAACAGCGGAGACTTGCCCTCCGTCTGGCACCAACGCCGTTTCCTCCAGCATCGTTGCTTTTCTTGCTGTGTCACGGTGACAAGACAGAGATGCTTCTTGTGCTGCTTGAAGGCAGAGGGTGGAACAAACCTTGCAAGATAACAGTGTTTCCTCACCTCCCTTGGGTTCTCCTGCGACACGAGGGAGTTCAGAACCCACTGTGGACAGACAAAACCAGGCAGCATCCTTGGGCAGTGTCTCCCTTGCCTCCTAGGCAGCATGCAGAACCACAATTCAAGGCACAAAGCTCGCTCTGAGCACACCAAAGAGAAGAGATTCGCCCCCCCCTGCTACCTCCACAACTGAATGGTGTTATCTGTCTCTTAGGCCTTGCCCATGCTGCCACCATAATATCTGAGTGCCTCCCAGACTAATAGACTGCCATAGCGAGGTCCCTACTTGACCTCATGGAGTCTTCTGCTCTCCTCCCTCTTCAGGTCTCGGGGAGCACCAGCCGGGGTAGGTTTTTATTGTGTTTTTTCCTGCCCAGAGGGAGGCATGTACGGGGAAAGACTGCACCCATCTATAATGCCATGGTGGTTCTGGTGAAAAGGCTTTGGCTGGATTCTGGATCTCTGCTGGTTGCTTGCTTCTTTGCAGGATGTTTTATTTCACCTTCGGTATGCAGCTTCAAACAGGCTACCTGTGTCATTCTCACCTCTAGCAGGGGTCTATTCCAGGCTCAGGATGCAGTAGAAGTCATGAACTTGCTCTTTGTTCCTTTTAAGGGGTTAAGCATAGGTCTGGTGATGGGCATCTTCACATTGTTTGAAATGAAGGCTGTGGTTTTCTTCTCTTCCAGAGTCTCCCAGGGCTCTATTTATTTCCCCGAGCTCCGTCATGTCGTGCTTCACGCAGCTGTGGCACTCCAGCACGCCGGACTCTCCCACCAGCCCAGTCCCTGCATCTCCAAGCGAAATCCCCATCCCCATCAGCCCCATTGTTGTCACCTCCCCAGGAGATGGCAAGAGGAAGGCGAGGTCCCCAACCGACAAGCCAGGCTCTCCAAATCCAACGTCTCCGAAGCCAGCCTCCCCTGTTGAGTGCTCCATTTGCTTCAACACCTATGACAACACCTTCAAGACACCCAAGCTGCTCCAGTGCTCCCACGTTTTCTGCCTGGAGTGCGTGGCCCGCCTGAGCACAGGGCTGCCACCAAACCAACCAGAGGACCAGCTCCCTTGCCCCTTCTGCAGGCAGCTGACCAGCATCCCTCTGGAAGGTGCTCCAGCACTCGAGACCAGCAAGGAGCTCCTTGCCTCTCCTGAGAATCCAGACTCGTGTATCTCCATTGACGTTGCCATGAGCAAGCCAGAAAGTCCGGAGGTCCCCCCGGCTGGGTTAGCTGGGAGGCTGTCCCGCTGCGACATGTGCGACGACTGGAAACGCATAGTCCTCCTCTCTGCGTTGATCATCATCCTGTTCTGCATCATTCTGTGGCCGGTCCAGTGCGCCCTGAAGACGGGGAACCTCCGCTGCTTCACAAGGACTGTTGCGATGAGCAGACCGGAGTATCTCTCCCCTAAGCCCACCACAGCGGCAGCACCCACGACACAACTCCCTTTCCAGTAGCAGCAATGCAGCCCTGCTCCTTCCAAGGCCTTCTCCCGAGCCCCTTGCTCCATCCCTGTGGCACATCAGGGAGGCAGGACCAGGGCCCGCTGCCCCGAAGGCATTCCATGATTTGCTGGTAGACCCCGTGGCCCACTCCCCACATTTGGTCTGTGCCTGCACTTGAACACATGGGTCCGCTTCCAGGAGCTCTGCTGAAATACTTGCCTGCCAAGCTGTCTCCAGCCCAGGAATGCTCCAAGGAGCTGCCTCAGCGTCCTGCTGCCAAACTCTCCATGGAAACCAGAGCTTGGAAAGCCACAGACAGGTTTCTAGGACTGTTTGCCTCGAGCGGCACACGGCCGTGTGCTGTCTTGGCTGGATACCAGATGACAGTGGGTGCAGTTCCTCTAACTCCCTTAGGGAATAAAGGGCTATTTTTGCAAATTGAAGGATCTACATGATTATTCCTAAGAGGAGCTGGGATTGGGAGGGTAAAGACATGTCAAAGTCGTATAAGTAGATGAAAATTAACCTTATTCCATGCGCTTAAAGCATTTCCGTTGTGTTATTCAATGTTGGAGGTGGAAATGCTGCCTCCTGCTGACAAAGCATGGATGTACCACTGGTACCCACCACCTCTGTGACCACCCCGAGGAGCTTTTGAACAGAACAGAGTAGCAGTTCCACTCGTTTTTCTTAAGAAGATGCTTAAAAACCACTCATCCCTACCTGGAAGGCGATTCTGAGCACAGGGGCTGCGCTCCGTTAGGCACGCTGACACAGCACCCTAACCCGGCCCCTTAAGCTCCTTCAGCAGCGAACTTCATTCATACTTCTCACAGGCAAACTGTTGCCAAAACAGAAGTTCCATCTTTTGACAGCTCTACCCTCCTAATCTTAAAATGTGTCAGTATTAAGACACAGGCCAGTTGCTTACACTATATTTTTTATTTAAAGAAGTGATTTTCTGACAGTGATTATCAAAAGTCTTCATGATGAAGGCGGCTTACAATTAAATGTTTTCTATTCAAACACATGGATGTAAGACAGTATTGTATGCAAGTACCATATGTGTATGTATTAAATTATGTTTTATACAATGCAAGGTGTCAATTTGTAGCAACTGCTCCACTTTTCCCTTCTTACTTGCAGTCCCGAGTCCAGCTGCATTCCCAGATCACAGCAGGTCCACAGCAGCTGGCACATCTGGACTCCGGTCCGTGCACCAGCTGCCCCAGTGCTGCACAATCCTGCACAGGGGGACAGCTTTATCCCGTAGATTCATACTTACTACCATTTAGGCGGTGTTATCCCAGGTGCTGCTTCCCTCTGTGTTTACCTGATTTGACCTAAAAAATGAAGAGCTGCAAAGACCGCTCATCTTTTTCTTCTTCCCAGCTGGATGAAAGACACTTCCAGCCTCTCCTTCCAGAAATTCTAATTTGAAAAAGGAAAGGCTGAAGCAATGGCAGCAGTAACTCCAGTCTGTTGCTATGGAAAACTTCTGCAGAAAGCTGCTGCGTGTGCTGTATCTCAACACCTTCGTTGTTCAGCTGCGGGCTGGTATTATCTGCGCCAACCACACGTCTGCAGAAACGACTCCAGGCACTGCGACGACTCCTGCCAAAGTCATCGGGCTTGACGGGGATTCTCGCTCGTATCACCCTGTCCGCTCCCCCGTGCTTGCCGCTGGAAGGATCATCTTCACAGCACCAGTTTAAGTGTGCTCCTGGAAAAAGCGACTCGCCAAGACTTAAGGCAGAGAAGGCACTTCCGTTTTACCCCAGGTGTGTTTGGGACTCAGCCCAGCAAACAGACACTAGTAGAGATGAAGTGCTTTGTCATTACATCTCTGTTACCATTCAGCTCCCACTGATGAGGCCTAAGGGCAGGAGAGAGGGAAATAACATCTCCAGAATCATAAAATCATTGTTATGGTGGCAAATCGGCCATGGAGATGTTCCCACAGTTCCAACTGCTCCCAGCAGTCTGCCACAGCATCCTTGTGGGGGCTGTCCCTCTGCACTGCCCCTTCTCACCACATACTTAGAAACCAAGGTGGAAGGTTTAGCTAACACGCAGCTGAGCCTCTCACTCGTGCATAGTCAGAAAGAAAATTAAAAGCAAGTGAAAACAGGGCCCTGAACAGTAGCATTTGGTGATGGGAGACATTCAGGATGCCCCATTGTCCACACAAACTGTCAGGCACTTTCCCAAAAAGCAAACTACTTAAAAAGAAAGGAGGGGGGGGGAAAAAAAGCCTTGAGAATATTCAACATTTATTAAAAGTGCAATAAAAATAAACAGTTCTCCTGTCCCTGCGACAAGGGACTAGAAAGACCAGCCAGGAAATACAGCCAACCCCTTCTGCTCAGCGCTTGGAGCCGAGACTCCAGGCACTCAGACCCCAACCACGCAGCAAGTTCGTCCCCTTCCAGAGACCCGGGAGGACTCCAGTGCCAGCCCCACGCGTGCTCAGGAGGCTCAGGCGCTGGCACCCGGAGCCCAGGCTCCCCACAGAGCACACCTTCAGACACTGACGAGTCCTGCAGGAAGGAGTTCTTCGGCTGGACCAGCAGGAAGCACTGGCAGTCACAAGTCCAGACTTATCAAGCGAGCTGGAATGCTCCACTCGGTGACACACTCATCTTCACGGCACTGGTCAAGCTGCAAACACTCCTACAACACCCCTACTCAGCAGGCACAACGCTTGCCTTGTCATATAGTTACAGGGAGGGGAAAAAGAGCTCGTGCAGCAAGGTAACGGCAGAGCTGCATCAAGCTTAGAGGGGCCCAGCTCAAGAAGTTCAGCTCAGATTGGTATCCTAGGCTGTTACTCACTAGGGGTGGCTAAAAGCACAGCGCGCAGCCAAAGCTGCTCTCCTACTCTTCAGCACCCAGCAGCTAGGTGGGATTTCATTTAGCTCGACGTTCAGACCCACACAGTCAGAGATGGAGATGCTCACCTCCGTCTCCCAGTTCTGCTGCGAAACCCACGTGCAGAGCGGCTGGCAGGCTCTCAGGTACGCACACACACACGCCTCTGCTGTGCTGCCGCAGCAGGGACTGCTCGCTGTGCTTTGGCAGGGTTGCATAGAAATCTAGAACTGGTACGGCCAAAAGGAAGTGAGAAACAGAATCAACAGAGGTGCAAATACCTGGGGTGCAGGCAGTGCTCTGTTTCTCACCCTCACAGGCAGAAAAGTTACTCCAGGATTTAGTCTAAAAACACTTCTAGCTTAGAAATGATCAACCTAATGAAAACATTGAAGTGTACTAACATTTTACTAATGCCCTAAGCAGGCAACCCTGGGAAAGCTCCTAAGCAAACAGTCATTTCCGTTCCTTTTAACAATTTGTGTGTAAAAAATAAAAATCTTAAATTAAAAAAAAAAAAAAAAAAAAA